GAACATATTGACAAGTTTTCAAGATAAAGGTATGGGCATCCTTGTGGAACCATTATTCAGTCCACTTCCAAGGCAGAAAATGTCTCCCTGGCAGATATGCCAGCTTTGATAAGAAAGAAAAAAAATGTTAGCATACACCTGACTCTTGTCTATATCTGCACCAGGTGAAAATTCTGAAAGTTTTTCAGTGTGCTTAATGATACCTGAACAAGTGTTCAGCCATGTCCTTCAGGTGGTGGATAGCAAAGACTCAGAAGTTAGAGGTTTTTCATGCAGCAAAAGGAAGCAGAAAATTCTCAGTGTATTGAGAGTATAGAGGTTATTGGTAAAAGTTCAGAAAGGTGTTATAGAGTGAAAAAGGGTGACACCTCCCTGCTAAAATTTTCAATGTCCTTTAGAAAACTGCTGTGATTCTGTATTTGAAAACATTAATCACATAGGGGCACTAGAAAAAGTTGCTGAATTGCAAGGAAATCTGATCTCAGAAAATCCTCCAGGAACAAGGAGGGCTAATGTTATAACAAACTAAAACAGTTGCTCTTTTCTGAGTACCTGTTATGTAAACATTAATGGGAAGGTTTACAGATCTTCAAGACACTTCATGTCTCATTATCTTTGGTTCATATAGAGGTACCTGCCGGTGGTTACGAAGGGTCATGTGACTATCCTTGACACTGTAGTATGAGCAGAAGCATGCCTCTCACCTCCAAAGGTGTTTGAGAACTAGTGTGCCACCTCTATGCTTTTTGTTTCACTGAACAGCAAACATGCAGAGCCTATGCTGAGATGTGGAAGCTCATGATAGAAGCACCCTGGATTCCAAGGTCACCTGACAATGGAGACACCCTGCCAATGCCCATCAAATTTTATGTACAAAACAATTTAAATTTTGTTATATTAAGCCATTTGCAATCAGATTTTTCCGATTACATCTCATTTACTTTATCTGAAAACTACACAGATAGTATTTCTGTTCTCTTATTTAAATGTTTTAATGACAAAGGAAATAGGGCATATGTTCTTGTTGCCAAAAAATTCTAATAGGGACACCTGGGTGGCTTGGGGCGCCTGAGTGGCTCAGTTGTTAAGCTTCTGCCTTCAGCTCAGGTCAAGATCTTAAGGTCCTGGGATTGAGCCCTGCATTGGTCTCCTGCTCGGTGGGAAGCCTGCTTCTCCCTCTCCCCCTCCCCCTGCTCGCGTTCCCTCTCTCGCTGTGTCTCTCTGTCAAATAAATAAATAAAATCTTTTAAAAAATTCTAACAATAGGGAGAGATTATAATTCTTCCTTACTATGTTCTTTCAAATTTTATCCCTTCCTAGAGGTAACTGCATTGAAAAATCTTGTGTGTAGTATTTTAAGACTGATTCTAGGCCTATTCTTACATACATGTGTTAGAAAAATACACTGTAATGATTGTCTTATGGTTTCACTTATTTGTGGAGGATATCCATTATCCTTCCTTAATACCCATCACTGGTCTTAGCCATCCCCCCACCCCCTTCCCCTCTAAAACCCTCAGTTTGAGTCCTGGAGTCCATAATCTCTCATGGTTCATCTCCCCTTCTGATTCCTCTCCTTCATTTTCCCTTCCTTCTCCTAATGTCCTCCATGCTATTCCGTGTGTTCCACAAATAAGTGGTGATGGATATTAAGGAGGGCACATATTGCATAGAGAACTGGGTGTTATATGCGAACAATGAATCATGGAACACTACATCAAAAACTAATGATATACTGGATGGTGACTAACATAACATAATAAAAAATTACTTTAAATTAAAAAAGGATATCTACACTCTTTTAATCTATTCTAACTTTTACACTAACAATATGAACTATTTAATAAAATTCTGAAGAAAAAAACCATAAATCAATCATTCAGAGACATATCCATTTTCATATATCCCCTTTCAATCTATAATGCTATGTGAACATGTTTACTTTGTTGAAATCATAGGATACATATAATTCTCTATTACTTCTTTGATTACTTCTTATTTTATTTTCCATTTTTTGTCATGTTTTACTTGGTTTTCTATAATTGTAGTTTTTAGAAACTAGATTGATTTTATTGACTTTAAACCACAATTCATTTAACCATTGCCTCAACGTTGGGTACTTTTTTTTTTCTAATCCATGTTATTATATGTACCAATATAATGAATATCTTTTGCTATAAACTTTTTTTTTAATTAATTAATTTTTTTATAAACATATAATGTACTTTTAACCCCAGGGGTACAGGTCTGTGAATCGCCAGGCTTAAACACTTCACAGTACTCACCATAGCACATACCCTCCCCAGTGTCCAAAACCCCACCCCCCCTCCCAACCCCCCTCCCCCCAGCAACCCTCGGTTTGTTTTTTTGTTTTTTTTTTTTTTTTAATTTTTTATAAACATATATTTTTTTCCCCAGGGGTACAGGTCTGTGAATCGCCAGGTTTACACACTTCACTTTTGCTATAAACTTTTTTAAAAAGAAAAATACACTGTGAGTTTCAAAAATACACATGTAACAGTGTACATATCATCTTGCCTCTTGTCCTCATCCCTGAATAAAATAAATGCAGGATTTTTCCAAGAGAGCACAAATAGATCTACCTCACTCTGTTAATTTTAGAATTCTAAACCGCATATGTGCCATAATTAATTTAAATATTCTCCTCTTGATGGACACACAAATTGTTTCTCATGATTAAGAGAACTGATATCAACATAACTGAACATCATTTCTTGGGCAAATGTGGATGTTTTATTATGGAAAGATGTAGAAAAATGCAATTAGAGTGGAAAGAATCTGACAACAGTGAAGTTTTACAAATATTAATGACATTCTGTTCTAATAATGTTATACCAAGTTATCTTTTCATATATTTACATATGTGAATAAATTAAGCTTTCAGTGGCATTTTATTTTATCAATCTTTTAAATTTTGGTCAAACTTTTGATCAAAAATATACTATGTCATTGCTAATTTAATTTGTATTACCCTATTTTCTAAACAGATTAAGCAGAAAATTAATTTAATCATTAACCCATATAAAGCAAGATTTCTTCAGTGATATCTTAAGTGCAAGGATTCCTTTGAGTGCATAGTTTAAAATTCTATGTCCACAAGACTTTCCCCTTTACTTCGAGAAGCTAGAATTTACCAGAATGACCAGGTACCAGGAAATGGGCCTAGACAGGAAAGCATCAATGAGTGAAGAAATATCAGGAAGACCAGGGATGGAGGAAGTAGAGCAATTTTCAGGATCCATGAGAGAGATCACATAGTTAAAACTCGTCCAGAGAACCCAGGGCAGCTGGTGGTCAGGAACCTGAATGAAGGCTTTAGCAGAAGGGAGTTGGGGGAAACTGGAGGGGGAGATGAACCATGAGAGGACTATGGACTCTGAAAAACAATCTGAGGGTTTTGAAGGGGGGGGTGGGAAGTTGAGTGAGTCTGGTGGTGGGTATTATGGAAGGCACACATTGCATGGAGCACTGGGTGTAGTGCATAAACAATGAATTCTGGTACACTGAAAAGAAATTTAAAAAATAAAAAAAAAATTATTAAAAAAAAAACATAGAAAAGTTGCCAGAAGGTGAGAACGTGGAGAATCTGGGTGGAGGGTACCAGACAGTTTACATGGATAGGCTAGGAAATCTCTGAATCATCACAGCCAGTCCAAAGTTGTAGAGTGATACGAGTAGGTAGATCTGCTGGTTAAAAGAGCCATAGGCAAGCCCAGCATCCTTTCCCACTCCCACCCCCACCAATCTCCTAACCCCACCACCAAAAAATGCCCCCTGGCCAGTGTCAGACAATATAGCTCCCCTGTTTCATCCATTAAGTAATGTTACCGATGGAATCTGGGAGAGCTACATCTCTCCACTGCTCTAATCATTCCATGCATCCATGCCAGTGACCAAAGTTATGAGAGATCTTGACACCTGATGGAAAAGGCTATTTCTTCCCCTATGTACATGGCCTTCTGCCACTGAGATTGAAGCTATGCAAGCAGGTGGACTTGGTGGGGGTTCAGAATGTTTAAAATAGGCCAAGTATTACCAAGTATTACCAATGAGTGCAGTGCCCTTATGCAACTGCAAGGAGGGAAAACTGGAGGGGGAATTCGTGGAGGCTAATTACCCCAGTGGCCCTTGGAATAAAGGGCTGAGTGTAGACATGCCTTGAAAAACAACCCAGGTGTTATCCCCAGCTCTGGTTACCTCCTGTAGTTCCTGACTTCTTTGCACACCAGAGGGCAGATGTATTCTGGCTGTGTTTGGTGGCCTGTGTTGCTACCAGATATTGACTAGAGTAGGGTGGAGACTCACAATGCAAACGTTTACAGGGTGGATGAAAAACTACTGGAGATGGTACACTTTCTTGTTAAGCTGGGAATGATGGTTATATGTGAAGTCCAAAACTCCATTATTGCCACAACCCTGATTCGATTGGATTGAAATTTTTAAAAACATTTAATAAAAATAATTAAAAACATGAATCTGGACTAACCATTCTCAAAATTTTCACACAATCTACAGAAATTTTTATGTCCACATCCTCAGGCCATTAGAGGGAAGGGTCCCAGACCCTAAGAAGTAACGGTTAAGATCCCGAGGGAGTTCTTTGGGAGCCATTCCACCCGTAACAGAATGGACCTATACAGACCCATCCCTGCTATCAGCACTTCTAAGCCCATAACTCGCTGTTAGGTTCAGGGGCTCCTTCACTTCACCCTCTGGCAACTGGGAATGGAGGGTTGGAAGGTGGGATACCCGAGGACGAAGTCTTGGCTTGAGGCTCGCTGACTCAAACACGAAAGAGTCGTGTCCCAGACCTCCCAGGAGACAAGGAAAGACCTCTAAATAAGTTTCGCCAGAGTCTTCCACCTCCACAAAAAAGACTCCACCCCTCACCTCCAAAGGCCACACCCCTGCCCTCAGCCCCTATGGGAATAACCGGAAGTGGATTCCCCCCAACTTCCGTCTCTGGCTTCTCGGAGAAGTGAAAGTATTGTTCCGGCTGGTGGTATCGGGTGAGCAGGAGAACTCTGAGGAAGAGTTCCATTCTGTCTGGAATTAGGGTAAAGACCCTGAATGAGACTTGAGGGCACACCACCCCCCCATTCCCCACTCCGTGCCTGTGGAATGCGCGCGTGGCCGTGCACACCAGAAAGGCGGGGGGGCGGGGGGGCGGGGGGAGGCGGCTGGCAGAATCCCGGAAGATCCCGGACAAGGATTACCTGATGTAGTGCCCTTAAATTCTCCCTTTCTGGACAGGGAGTGGATGGTATCAGATCAGGGGTTGGCACTGGGCCTTCCAGGAGTTAGTTGAGGACCCTAAGTTCTGATGGAACCACCTACAACAGATGAGAAAGGCTACTCAGAACCCGGGCCCCTCCGGTCAGGCCTGGGAGACCCCGGTGGGAGTGGCTGGATATAAGATACCTAGAATTCTACCTCTGGTCTCAGGGAAATGAAAGAATTGGTGCAAAGGGGACTGTGTAAGTTAGAGGGAGAAGACCCAGGCTCTGTCAGGAGGTAAGATAAGGCCCTTCATGAGATATGAGGATACCCACTATCCAGTAAGAGTGGGCTGCACAGAGTCGGGCCCTGCCATCAGCAACAGTGAGTCTGGGGCAAGGAACATCTGCTGTAGTACCTTCTAAATTCTTCCTTTGTAGATTCAAAGAGGAGATGGCATTGGGGTGGGGTTTCTGGCCTCGGGTCAGTGAATAGAAGAGTCTGAGGTCCTAACATAAGTAAAGGTGAGGACACTGAGGTCCGAGTGACCTCCCACCCCAAAAAAGATGGGTTTTCAGAGTCCTGATATTGTTCTCAGCCTAGGGAGGGCCAAGGTGAGAGTGGTTGGATGCAAAGCATCCTGAATTACAAAATCTGGCATTTCAAAGTGAATGGCTTCATGTGAGAGGGGCTGCTTTAAGTTTTGAAAGGAACTACTAGGTCCTGCCAGGAGGTAGTGCAAAAACTGTGAGTAAAGTTTGAGGGGACTCCCTGTACCTCAAAAGGTAAGGGGTCACACAGATTTCTGACAGGCCCTGGGCAGGAATTGTCTGATGAAGCATCCATTGAATCCTCCTTGTGAGAACTTAGAGAGGTGAGGGCATTGGACTGGAGCATCAGCCTCGGAAAAGCAGAAAGAGGTTACAGGTTCTAACAAGAGTAATGAGAAAGACCTTGACTGAGTTCTGAGAAAACCACTGACTTCATATTAAAGCAGGTCTGCACAGAGTGCCAACCATGCTATAAGCCCTGAAGGTATCAGGCAGATATGTCAGACTAAGGGCTCCCTAATGACCTCTTCAGTAATTTTTAAAAATATAAGGGCCTTGTCTTAAAATGTGGTCTCACACCAGGAGAGGGAAGAGAACCAAGCCCTACCAGAAGATGAGGTGAGGACCCTGAGTGAACAGGAAGGACCCTAATTACCCCAGGATGGAGAGAGTCCTTCTGAGCTCTTCCCTTATTGTCATTCTTGAGAAGATATGGTCAGTTGAAGTCTCCCTCAATTTCTCCTCTAGGAATCAAAGGGAGATGAAGTATTGAAATGAGGCGAGCATGAAAGCAATAAAGGGAAACCAGAAGCGGCCAGAAGCCAAAATGATAGTCCTGAAAGTGAAATGAGAGAAACACACCTACCCCAAACAGAGGGGCCTCCATAGTGCCTGGATATTCTAGGCCTTGCTGTCACCCTAGAAAGCCCTAGGCAGATCAGGCAGGTAGCAGTTTAAGGTGAACTCTCATTACTTTCACAAGGTTCTCGGGAAACAAGCTGAGAAGAGAAAATGAACATTGTGAATTCCTTGAGCAGTGCACGTAAGAAAACCTGCAGAGGTAGTCATTAATAAAACCAAGACAGCATCGCCCTGTGAGTGGGCACACACCATCTTATCTTCTTTCTTCCAGGTCACTGGTTCACCTGTCCACATCTCTGCTGCACCTGAACAGAGTCATCATGCCTCGGGGTCAGAAGAGTAAGCTCCGGGCCCGTGAGAGACGTCGACAGGCCCGAGAAGGTTCACAGGATCTGGTAAGTGCTCAAGCCGCTGCTCAGTTGCACTCCTCTTCCTCCCCTCATTTGGAAGACATTCCTTTAGAGCTCACTAGCTGAATCATTTGCAATCCCCAGGGTCCTCGGACAGCCACATTCACCGCCACTACTGCTGCAGCTGTGTCATACATGAGATCAAATGAAGGCACCAATGAAGTACAGGGAAGGCCAAGATCCTCCCAGAATCCAACAGCCACTGAGCCCTTCCATAGAAGCCCTCTGGGGGAGAAGGTGTTTATATTGGTATACTACCTGCTATATAAGTATCAAACCAAAGAGCCCATTACCAAGGCAGATATGCTTAGAAATGTAATTCAGATCTATAGGAATTACTTCCATGTGATCCTCAGGAAAGCCTCTGATCACTTAGAGCTGGTCTTTGGCCTCGACATGAAGGAGGTGGATCCCAATAGGCACATCTATGTGCTCGTCAACAAACTGGAACCAAGCTATGATGGGAAGCTGAGTAATGAGAGTAGTGTGCCTGAGACCGGTCTGCTGATGACCGTTCTGGGTGTGATCTTCACAAAGGGCAACTGTGCCACTGAGGAGCAAGTCTGGGAAGTGCTGAATATGATGGGGTTATATCCTGGGAGGAAGCACTTCATCTATGGGGAGCCCAGGAAGCTCATCACCAGAGATTTGGTGAAAGAAAATTACCTGGAGTACAGGCAGGTGGTCAACAGTGATCCTCCACGCTATGAGTTCCTGTGGGGTCCCAGAGCCCATGCTGAGACCAGCAAGATGAGGGTTCTTGAGTTTTTGGCCAAGATCCATGATACCATCCCCTCTGCCTTCCCATCCTATTATGAAGAGGCTTTGAGGGATGAGGAAGAACGAGCCCAAGCCAGAGCTGCAGCCAAGGCTCTTATTGCTGCCAGGGCTAATGCACGCTCCAGGGCCATGGCCAGTGCCCGTTCCAGGGCCATGGCTAGCAGCTCCTCCCACCCCTAGTAAAATGTGAGACAGATTCTTCATTTTGTTGTTAAAAAAAAATACATGTTCTCCTTAGTGGAAGGTCAGGGTGGGGCAGAGAAAACAGACTGTATAACATGTTTATGTTCCCATTCTATATGTTAATTTTTAATTGTTTTTTTCTTTTGATAGAAGGTTTATTAGCTTCAAAAATCCAAGGATATGAATGACATTTTCAAATTTTGTGCTGTATATGAGATTTAAGAGTAAGAGATTATTATTTTGCAAACCAAATTGGGAAATTCCTCATCTTATTTACTGATTTGGACTATGATAACATATCAGTGGATTAGGCATTTCCTTGGAAATGTAAAAGAATTCAGCAGTAAAATACTTGGGGTCAAGAAATTGAGAAAAAAGTAAAAGATGGCCAAATACTGCATTTTCTTTTCACTTTTAGTTTGTTTAAAACTAAATGATATTGCCTGTATACATATGCATATAGATTATTTAAGAATGTAGGATTAATTATAGCACAATAAATTAGACCTCTTGAACACTGTCTCATTTATTTCTCAGACATTCCTTCAGCATCTTTGGGAGGCTTCCACCTAGTACTCCGAGTGTCAGAATAAACAAGACCCACCCACCGTGCCCATAGAGTTTTAGAGTGTAGAAACAGCTGTCAAGTAAGAAAGAGGATGGGATACACCCTAATACCTAAGGACATGTGAAAAGAAGGAGAGGACATGGGAGGATCCAGATGTGAGAAGTCAAGTGTAAGTACCCCGAGGCTAGTGGGTCTGGGGCCTTGGAAAACTCCTTTGGTGTGAGTCAGCTTTACCTGAAGCTGGATGGTGGATCAGATGAAGCTTCTGTGGGAGTGAGGCAAGGGCCAAACGCTCAGAAGCTGTGTCCAGAATTAAGAGGCTAAAGCCTGGAATGGGGATGTCAGCTCAGTCAGTTAACCCTCTGCCTTTGCAGCTCAGGTCATGATCCCAGGACCCTGGGATCGAGCCCCATATCAGGTTCCCTGCTTAGTGAGAAGACTGCTTCTTCCTCTCTCTCTCTGCTCTACTACACTCCACTCATGCTCTCTCTCCCTCACTCTCTCTCTCAAATAAAATATTAAAAAAAAATAAAGCCTGGGATGGAAAACTATTTCTAGAAATTACTTTTTAAGACCACGAATTAGCCAGAAATGGGACAGAAATGAAAGGTGCCCTGTGCTCTTGTCTCAGTATAGGTGAACACAGTGCACAAACTAAATATTTTATGTAGATTGTTTCCAGGGAGTCTCTGAGAAATAAGGGTAATTAATTACGCCTTAACCTGTGATTCTCAGAAGCCATTTTGCTGGCAATCTTTGACTTATACTGTCAAAGACAGAGCTCACTCTTTTAACTTTTTTTTTTTTTAGAGCTCACTCTTTTAATAGGGTATTTAAGTTATCTTGAGTATAAATTGGTAAACTCAAAAAAAAAAAGAGATAGATGTTTTGATGAGAGTGAACCAGGTAGTCCTTGACACATTTTCTATGAACGTTCTATGCATCCAGTGGGGGAAGATTTTCCCAGCTCACAATATAAATCCTCAAAATGTTCCTTAGCAGGTAACTTACTTTTATTTGATTGAAAGTATCTTGGCTGATTTGGTGTGCTATGTATTAGAGCTTTGTATTGCTATGTATATTCTCTGACATATCCAGGATAAAAATATATTTTAAAATTCCAAGATAGGAGGTTGGTAGCATTTGATGTTAGAATTTTAATAGTAATAACTGGTAATTATCAAAAATCCAAAAAGCCATTCCTTGTACCAGGTACCTTACATAAATTACATTCCGGCAGTTTTTGACCTCACAAGGTATCACTGAGCCAGAGAGCAAGCTGACTACATTAAGCCCATTTTGCAGATGAGAAACCTGAGGCACACATATCTCTGAAATTTTCATGACTTCACATGTTTCAGAAAACACAACCCTGAGAATAAAGCCCTGGTCTGAATTCCTCTGGAGCCCACGCTGTTGCAGCCTGAAGCCAACCTTCTGTCTCTTAATTACTTTCTCTTCTCACTATTCCATGATGGCTCTCAGGCAATGAAAGAAAGACCCTGTGGCCGAAGTACTAAAAGCAGGATTAAAGAAGGAAGGTGCAAATGAAAATCAAGCACAATTTGGAGGTTGTTCATGGGGTTCATTTTCCTAGGATCCTCCTGCCCCTCACCCCAGGGTCCCTTGAGAGCTGGCTCTGCCCTCCTCTGAGCACTTGTGTGGAGTCCCCAGTCCTGGCACTTTGCTGAATGACAGCTCCCTCCACTGGGACTTCCCCATTGGGCCTTTGTGTCCAAACTAGGATCTGACCTGATGGCCAGCTCTCCTCTGTGCCCTCCTCTGGAGGCTGCACCTGATTCTGGTGGAAGAGACAGCTGCTGTCCCCTGACCTCCCCTGACTCAGATCATTCCAACTCCCTACGGCTCCCATCTCTCCCCCTGGCTCTTCCTCTCACAGCAATTGCCTTCCCCTGTAATTCTGACAGTGATGTTTAGACACTTCCTTACCCCTACCACCGACCCTAGATACATCCACCACATTCACAGAAGTCTGTTTTTTTTTAATTTTTTTAAAGATTTTATTTATGTATATGACAGACAGAGATCACAAGTAGGCAGAGAGGCAGGCAGAGAGAGAGGAAGGGAAGCAGACTCCCTGCTGAACAGAGAGCCTGATGTGGGGCTCGATCCCAGGGCCCTGGGATCATGACCTGAGCCGAAGGCAGAGGCTTTAACCCACTGAGCCACCCGGGTGCCCCTGTTTTTTTAAAAATTTAATTTAATTTATTTTCAGTGTTCCAGAATTCATTGCTTATGCACCACACCCAGTGCTCCATGCCTGCTGATAGGTAGACTCTAATTTGATACAGAATATAGTGGCTATAATATCTTGGAGCAAAAATATATTCATGAAGTTAGGAGATATTAAGAAGAAGATAAAATATAAATAAAGGAAAATTAAAGCTAATGAATTATTTGAGACTGGCCACTGAATTCACACACTGAACAGTAAGCTTCACTGAGTGGTCAAAAACCAAAGCCTCCCTCCTACATTGTAGATGAGGAGGTGCGGGAAATCACTGTGTAGCAACCATTGGCAGATGATGGATTCTAACAGACCCTGTAGTTTTTCAGGAATTTATAGTAGTTTTCTAAGGCTGCTGTAACAAATCACCACAAATTTGCTGCTTTACAACAACACATGTTTGTTATCTCAGTAGGTATTATCTACATTTCTGTACGTGTAAAGGCTGGGATGGGTTTGCTAGATTCTGTGCTCGGATTTTTGCGGCCCGGAGTCAAGCTTTCAGCTGGTAGGCCTCTCATGAGTTCTGGGAAGAATCTCCTTCCAATATCATGCAGGTTGTTGGCGGGTACAGTTCTTTGTGGAAATAATACTGAGGCCTTGTTTTTTGTTTTTATTTTTTATTTTTTTCTGACTGTCAGCCAAAGCTGACAGAGTTTTTCTAGGCCTCCAGTCCTGAGCCCATCTACTTTGAGTCAGCAATAAAATATTGCATCCTTCTCACCTTTGGAATCTCTCTAACTGTCCCTCCCCAACTCTGCTGCATTTCTCCTGTATCCAGTCAGAGAAAGTTCTCTGTTTATAAGGGCTCATGTCATTCGATTGGGCCCACTCTGATAATGCAGTGTAATCTCCTTATTTTAAAGTCGTTTTCACAACCTCACTACATCTACAAAGTATAACAACAAATTCACAGGTTTCAGAGATAAGGGTATGAGTATCTTCATGGAGCAATTACTCAGTCTACCTCCAAGGTGGAAAAAGTCTCCCGGGAGACATGCCAGCTTTGATAAGAAAAGAAAAACTAACAGGCCATCATTTTAATGACTTTTGTCTGTATATGCTGCAGGGGAAAATCCTGGTTTTCAGTGTGCCCAAAGACACCTGTACAAGTGTTCAGTAATGTTCGTCAAGTGGTGTATAGCAGAAACTCAAGTTATGATATGACCATGGAGCAAAAGGAAGAAGTAAATTCTCACAGTATTGGGACTGTAGAGGTTATTGAAAATGTCAGGGCAGGAAGGTGCTATATAGAGTGAAGAAGGATGATGCATCCCTGCTAAGATTTCCAGTGTTCTTTAGAAAAATGCTGTGATTCTGTATTTGAACACTTGTCACGTAAGTAGGGACTTCAAAAGATTTGGAGTGTTGCTAGGCAATTTTGGCCTTCTTGGAATCTTCTCCAAGAATGAAGAGGGCTTTTGTCATACAAATTCTAAGTGTTGTACTCTACTGATGACCTACTCTGTAACTGTTTATAGAGAGATTCTAAGTGTTCTTCCACATCGTGTCTTTCTCCCCTTCATGGGCTCATGGGTACACTATATTGTCAAATGTATTTGTATTAGAAAAAGGTTTTGTGACTACCCTTGCCACTGAAATATGAACAGAAACAATGGTTGTCATTTGCAGACCAAGGCATTTGAGAGTCAGTACACCACTTTTATGCTTTCTGTCCCATACAGCAGAATCAAGGAGATCCTGTGTTGAGAGGTTGATCCATGCTGTGTAAGCAGACTCTATCCCTGGGTCACCAGATAGGAAAGATCCTGCCAGCCCATCAGGCCTTATGTGTATGAGAAGTAAACTTTTGTAGTGTTAAGTCATTCAGATTTCAAGCTTCTTCCATTACATTAGATAGTAGTTACTTCATCTGAATATCACACAGCTACTTTTTCTATTGTTAGCCTTTCTTAAATATACTAAATACAAAATAGTGCACATATTCTTATTTTTAGCTTAACAGAATTTATTTTTTAAAATTTTATTTTATTTTTTCAGTGTTCCACGATTCATTGTTTATGCACCACACCCAGTGCTCCATGCAGTGCACATATTCTTGGTGCTAAAGAAATTCTAAAAATATGGATAAATCAGAAAGCCCTTTCCTTACTACATCTTCCAAAATTCAGCACTCCCCAGAAGTAACCACAATTTTAAAAATGTTGCATATATTATTTTAAAATATAGTCTGGGCTTTTTCTTACATTAACATACTAGAAAAATACAATTTGAGGACTTTTTAATGTAC